TCACCAGACACCACCTGAACTTCACCAGACATCACCTGAACTTCACCAGACATCACCTGAACTTCACCTGACATCACCTGAACTTCACCAGACATCACCTGAACTTCACCAGACATCACCTCACCTGAACTTCACCAGACATCACCTGAACTTCACCACATCACCTGAACTTCACCAGACATCACCTGAACTTCACCAGACATCACCTGAACTTCACCAGACATCACCTGAACTTCACCAGACATCACCTGAACTTCACCAGACATCACCTGAACTTCACCAGACATCACCTGAACTTCACCAGAACTTCACCAGACATCACCTGAACTTCACCAGACATCACCTGAACTTCACCAGACATCGCCTGAACTTCACCAGACATCACCTGAACTTCACCAGACATCACCTGAACTTCACCAGACATCACCTGAACTTCACCAGACATCACCTGAACTTCACCAGACATCACCTGAACTTCACCAGACATCACCTGAACTTCACCAGACATCACCTGAACTTCACCAGACATCACACCTGAACTTCACCAGACATCACCTGAACTTCACCAGACATCACCTGAACTTCACCAGACACCACCTGAACTTCACCAGACATCACCTGAACTTCACCAGACACCACCTGAACTTCACCAGACACCACCTGAACTTCACTTCACCAGACATCACATCACCTGAACTTCACTTCAGACATCACCTGAACTTCACCAGACACCACCTGAACTTCACCAGACATCACCTGAACTTCACCAGACATCACCTGAACTTCACCAGACATCACCTGAACTTCACCAGACATCACCTGAACTTCACCAGACATCACCTGAACTTCACCAGACATCACCCTGAACTTCACCAGACATCACCTGAACTTCACCAGACATCACCTGAACTTCACCAGACACCACCTGAACTTCACCAGACACCACCTGAACTTCACCAGACATCGCCTGAACTTCACCAGACACCACCTGAACTTCACCAGACATCACCTGAACTTCACCAGACACCACCTGAACTTCACCAGACATCACAGACATCACCTGAACTTCACCAGACATCACCTGAACTTCACCAGACATCACCTGAACTTCACCAGACATCACCTGACATCACTTCACCAGACATCACCTGAACTTCACCAGACATCACCTTGATCGCCTGAACTTCACCAGACATCAGACATCACCTGAACTTCACCAGACATCACCTGAACTTCACCAGACATCACCTGAACTTCTTGGACATCACCTGAGACATCACCTGAACTTCACCAGACATCACTTCACCCCTGAACTTCACCAGACATCACCTGAACTTCACCAGACATCACCTGAACTTCACCAGACATCACCTGAACTTCACCAGACATCACCTGAACTTCACCAGACATCACCTGAACTTCACCAGACATCACCTGAACTTCACCAGACATCACCTGAACTTCACCAGACATCACCTGAACTTCACCAGACATCACCTGAACTTCACCAGACATCACCTGAACTTCACCAGACATCACCTGAACTTCACCAGACATCACCTGAACTTCACCAGACATCACCTGTACTTCACCAGACATCACCTGACTTCCCTTGGCACACCTCACTTTGCGAGGCATCACCTGTACTTCACCAGACATCACCTGTACGTCACCGACATCACCTGTACGTCACCAGACTTCACCTGTACGTAACCTCACTTCACAGTAAACCTGTATTTCCTGACACCATTTGACACCATAACAGATGACATGCAAAATTGTACAATGATATCTCACCCAACTATGGTTGTCACTTTGATGAACGAAATACATCAGACAGGAAAAAGCTATGCAAGTAAACGACATATTGAAAGCTCGCTGTTCCTGGACGAGGTAGTTTTTGCAGATTATAATGATGTTTCGTGGAAGTAACCAACTATGCTGTTGCTGGTGATATTTTCTTTGAAAATAACAAAATATGAGCTGAATTGCATTTCAGCGTGTTCAAAATAGATATAGTTAAAACCACTTTTAAAACATCCTTATAAAACCACGGACTGTGCACAAACCACTGCGACTAAGTTACTGCCTTCAGGGACCGACGGGACTCCGTTACCTCCAGCATAGGCACAGGCCTTCATCCTTTAACATACCGACCTCACCCAGCCTCTTGAACCCTTCATATACTTTAATAGACATTGTCAAAACTGATAGTTTACCTTGGCCGTGGTCCGAATGAGTGACAAGCCGACGGGTTTCACTATTGGGTTTCTTTCGAGTTTGACAGGCCAATTTCGTTTTCTTCATTTCTTTAATTGCTTCCTATACCCATGTGTTCGTGTTGACATCCTGACATGGAAATATGCAGCTGCTCGTTAGGAAATGGTCACGTGACTACATGTAGTCGTCAGATGTGTCCGCCCATGCATGTACCTGTACAAGACGGCTCAAGGTGTGAGAAGGATGGAGCTTTTTGCCTTCTCTGCAAGGTTGTCTCGTGATGCACCACGCGGCCATAACATTGTCACATTCAGCATATTGATAAGCCATGCAGGCGACATCCATATGTACATGAACATGCCTTTCCTGTACACCCCGGGGTTAGAATTGGTCTTCAGTAACCCATGCTTGTCGTAAGAGGCGACTAACGGGATCGGGTGGATCTTGGTCGACACATGTCATCATATCCCAATTGCGTAGATCGATGCGCATGCTGTTGATCACTGGATTGTCTGGTCCAGACTCGATTATTTACAGACCACCGCCATATAGCTGAGTGCGGCGTTAAGCAACGAACAAACCAAACCAAACATGTTACTACGCAATGGACATTATGCATATCAGACTAAACGTGCGTATATTTTTAAATATATTTTTGTTACACTTTTCTCATATCACATTAGCGTACTTGACATCTTTCCGTGTTTCTTTTAAATATGTACCTTCGTTTGCTAGGGGCGTGGTAGTGGTTAAAGCATTCGCTCATCACCCCGAATACCCGGGTTCGATTCCCCACATGGGTACAATGTGTGAAGCCCAATTCTGGTGTCCCCCGCCGTGATATTGCTAGAATATTGCTAAAAGCGGGGTAAAACTTTACTTACTCACCGGAAGTATATTTGAAGCTGTAGAACACTTGATAATCGAGGGTAGTTGGAACCCTGTTATGTGTTATACGTTTAACGAAAAATGCAATCAGGGTTTGTTCATTTTCCTACATATATCACTGAGTGAGTTTAATACGCCGCTTCGAACAATATTGTCATTTATGCCAAGCCTATGCCATCTATGTCAGCTTGATGTTTTAAACATAGGATGCATGTCTTTACCTTTATACCCACTTTGTAATACCCACACCGCGGGTATCGTGCGGATAAACCAGCATTCATAACAACCACGGCCAATCTCGGATTCGAACCCACAAACAATGGATGGCGATACGCCTAAGGGAAGTAACTCTGAATGGCAAATATCGACACAACAGTATACTTGCAAGGAATTTCCTGTAGGTTGCATTGTTGAGCAGCAATTTGATCCAATGTAGTCTTCATTTTCCGATATTTAGCAATCTATTTTGTACAGTGATCATTTTTAACTTGAAAGAGAATCTATCAGTCTGATAGAAATATCGGTTGCCCGCGTCTACCATATAGAGACTAACTTACTGCTGTAGGCGACATGGAACGCCAATTTAATGTCGCATGTCAGGTAGTGAAAATAAAATTCAGCGGCACGAACATGACAAGATTTTGTGCAGTTGCATCCTGGTTACTGTCTGAACAAACTGATATGATCATATTTTTTATTACTTAACCAGGAAAAATACATGCCTACTAATTTCCATGCCTCGGCATACATTCAATCTCCTTAAATATCACTAAGCCACTTGGGCAGACACGACTTAGCGTAGATAGCAATCCAGCTGATACCCCATGTGTTCAGGGCTGTTGGGCAATTACAACATGTCGGGCGCCGTCCACGACTTCATGGCTTAGCCTAGGTGATAACATCGCGACGACCGCGACACCGTGGACACTACGAGACGGAGTATCACACTCCATTATATTACCCTGTAGAACGGAGCTAGTGGTTAGTAGTTACAATCAACGGCTAGAGATTGGCGGATACGTTGCATGGAAACCAAACAATCTCAAACATACATATAGTCACATGCACGGTAGATGCGTAGCTGTTGGACGAAAATTATTTTCGAGAAATATGATCTGTAAATAATTGCCTGTTTTAATGAGCGTACACCGTCAGGAAATGAGTTCTATTTGTTATCGTGACACAAGCTGACCAAGCACGTAGGTACGTGTTAGGATAGGACTTAACTGCCATAGTGGACCGTACTTCTATTACGTCTGTAAATAATGGTGTCTGGGAAACCAGTGGTTGATAATGTGAACAACAAATCACGTTATCGGTATTGGGGCTACTCTTGAATGTTCACGGAGACAGATATGAATTTAGAGGAGACAGCTATGAAGCTGTGGGAACCTGTTACATCCTTAATTGTCCACTGTAGACAGACCTGGATTTAAGGATTCACGTATGAGGTAGGAGATGTATCCTAACCCGAAATGTCCCGGTTGGGAGACACAGGCGGTATATTCTGCCCCGGCATCCAGGCTAAATGTTTACACTTATTCATGCATAGCTTGGTAGCCTTGCTCTCATGCTGTACTAAATGCTAAGATGCTAAGAAAATGGATGTATAGTAATTCTATCCTTTAAAGAGGCAAGTCTAGATATTCGGACAGGCCGCCAATCTGTTATTTATATATTTTGAGAATTTTCATTTAAACTATTAATTATTACCGTAGAGACTCGTGCAAGTCTAATAGCTTGGGTTCTATCATACATAGCAGGAATTACATATAAACTTAGATAAACAACATCCTATTCAATTTAAGACACCGATATGTTACAAAATGCATTCACTAGCGAACAACATATTACGTAGGAGAGCAAGGTGTTGAGATTGACCCACGCCGAGACCGACATGCTTGACGACTGAGCGTCTACACAAGGACACTGTCAGCCCCGAGAGTATCTCCGCTGTCAGGCTAGACGAGCCAGGCAGTGTACACCATACACGAGCACTTAGCCGAACGCAATGCATTGGAAGAATGATGTTCAGTGAAACTGCTCGTGGACTCCGGAGTGGGTGCCCAGAGCAGAGCAAGTAAGGTATTCATTTGTGACGGATTGACACGCGTGAGACGACGAACGTGGATGTTGGTTGAGGTGCAGGTGTCGTCGTCTATTAGCAAGCCCACATCCTGTGTTTGGGATTTCCACAGCGGACCTGTGACAGACAGTAGTCAGTAAGATCGCTGTGATAATGCCATTGAGATAAACTCAAATAAGTAGTGTAGCTTCTAGATGTGGACTTTCTCGTGTTGCTTCGTCGGATTTTTCAACACGTCTGCTGTTATCAACTGCTGAAACGCAGCCATGGGTATGTGAACAATTGAAAATCACGATACTTATTTTGCGGGTTCAAATGATAACAGGTGTATAATGTTTCAGAAGAACCAGGAACTGTTTTCAAACATTACGGATGTTCCGAGACATGTGTGGACTTTATTACGCACCTGACAATCAGACAGTCAACCACCCTCTCCGCGAAGGACGTTCAGGAGAAAGGTACAGTTCAAATGCTGACATCATCAAAGAATTTTGTTTTACATTGTTTCAAAACGACAAAATCATCCCAAAATAGTGAACGAGTCATACCCCAAGCCGCTTGTTACCAAATACACTTCTGTGGCATTCCATAACGTTAGAGTAGAGTGTTGTCGCCGTGTCACAGCTGTAATTATTAAGGTTGTTCGGCAGCCTGGCATCAAAGGAGGTTGTGGCTTCTCGGACTGATGGAACTATTCCTGTGACAGTGCCTGGATTATCAACAGAAGTGATCAGAGAGGTGATGAATTAACGCCAGGGTGCGTTACTGTTGTTTCCGAGGAGGATGGCGTTTTGACGCTTTATCAGATCTATCACCTTTCCTTGACAAGGTAAGAGGCAGTAGTTGTGGGTGTTAAAGATATTAGTGATAAAATATGTGTCGATAAAGGAAACAAACGTGAATAACTTCCGTCTCCGATGAAGATGTACCTGTCACGCTCTATCACATCTGTACGTGGTTGTAGAGTTTACAGATAGCTGTTGATAAAATATATGTCGAAAAGTAAACAAACGTGACAAACATCCTTCTCCGATGAATATTTACTTATATCGCTTTATCTGATCTGTAGTCTTCTCCTTTCTATTACAAGGTAGGAGTGGGTAGTTGTTGATTTTATGGATACCTGTTGATAAAATATCTGTGATAAAGTAAACAATCGTGAAAACTTTCCGCGTCGGGTGAACATGATGAAGATTTAGTCGTGACGCGTTATCAAAGAGAAGCTTTCACCCTTCTCTGAGTAGATGAGGGTTCAATTTGAATAGGTCGCTGTTGACAAAATATATGTGGAAAAGTAAACAGACATGAGATGCACCAAATATGGACTGAAAAAGCGTAGTATACTGAAACAAGGAGATTTAAATCCACAAGCAGTGGAGCATGATGATATAGTGTGTGATTTAAAAGTCGATGGTTGGGAGGCAACGCCGGAGTATTCAGAAAGGGTGAAGGATGTCGCTATAGGATTCAGGTTACATCTGAGACATGACAGAAACAGGAGTCTTTCAAATATTACTCAGTATATGGACCCCATGTTTTTCTTTCATTTGGTGTTTGCGATATTCCATTACGACCATCCATCAGATGATACAGCAGCGGTCAGTGAACCTGGCTGTCAGTGATGTAGGTGTATGATGTATTAGCTCATTGTATGTTTAGTAATGGTGGTGGAACAGTCCACAGCTTTGTGTGCTGGAGAATGGTGACTGACATAAGTTTGTGAACTACATATGTTATAGGAGGGTTTACTGACGCACTACGTCTGTGTAATGCGTCTAAATATGTTATATAGTCAAAATGTCAATTTAAAACTGTTAATGTGAGTAATGTCTATAATAAAGTATATTGTAACGTACGGTAGTTTGGGTCAACGTACTAAGCAAATAGGGTCTATTTTATCTACAACAGCTGTGTAGCATAACTGTCTCAGTGAATAAATTCTATAAATCGATAGTAATCTAATACAGCGTGGCGCAACTTAGAGAATATATGATATATAGTCAACTCTTGCCAACAACTTCGTGATAAAACTGACAAGACAAGTAAGTGTGTTATGAAGTTTGCTGTAGACTAGTATATTGTATAATACAACTGACATGGCGAGTAGATATTGTACAGTCTGCTGTAGCTTACTGCTACTGTGTTATTCATACAACTGACAAAGTTAAGCCATGGTGTGACGTCTGCTGTAAGGTACAACCGAGAAGATGAGTTCAGTGTTATAAGGTCTAAGACGCACTACTCACAAGACGAGTATACAGCTGTATACACCCTGTGAATCTAGATACAGTGTATGTGTCAGGTGTCATTAACACATCGGACACCAGGGCATGTGGATGGTACGGGTACTCGTCAAACTGTCACAATAGTAGCGTTGTACTAAACTTGTACATTCAATAGTATCACAATAGTGGTATTGCTGTCGAACTAACGAATCGTAGAATTGGTTTTGGTGAGAGGAACGATGAAGCTAGTAAAACATTATGAGAAATAGATTCAATGTTATATGGTGTGTTATTTCGTCCCGCACATAAAGCCTGAATGTCTTTTGCCTTGTATCATTAACACTACACATGCTGCTCGGGGTTTGTGCGACAACGTTATAGTCCAGGCTTGATGATGCACCGTTCAACAATCCCAGTTCAAAACGTCCATACACCATCGTTAAACAACTCTAGTGGCTGGGGTGCTTTAGAAAGAAGTACATTTGGCTGCTCAACAGGACAGAGTAAATAACAGCAAGCGTTCCAGTCGCATTATGTGCCCAACATCAACTGTCACCTATGTCACTAAAATAAATCCTCTTGGAGAAAAATGAGAAAAAAATAGAATAAAATCCTCGATCTGAACTCTGAATGTTTCAAGTGCGGTGTAAAACCCCATTTTACCATTCACTCATCGTTAACGCATGTCGTCATACAGTATTGGAAGACAGTAGTAACACCTAAAGTGTCAGGATTAATTTTGGATTAAGTGTATGGTCCATGTTTCCGTATGGCTTTGGGAGTGAGTGAGTATAGTTTTACGCCACTTTTAGGAATATTCCAGCAATATCATGACGGGGGGACACTAGAAATGTGCTTCAGACATTGTACCCATGTGGGGAATCGAACCCGGGTCTTTGGCGTGACGAGCGAACGCTTTAACCACTAGGCTACCTCGTCGCCCCTGTGTGTGTTTGGGGGCAGGCTGGAAGGACAGGAATCTGATTTACTATGCCCCCTCTACAGTGTGTAACATGACTTCTGTCAGTTCCCACAAAGGTATCACCAGGCCTGACAAGGCGATATATCCGTGATGTATCCCTTTATCTATAGTTTATACGCTGCGTCGACTAACACGTTGATGTAAGGGTGAACCGTTCTTACCGGTGCAGTGATCCTTTTGTTCACATGACAATCGCACTGGATAATAATTACATACAGTGAGGTTTATTTGAGCAATATCCAACACTGGTGGCATGGCCGAGCTTCACAATGAGAGAGGAATCTTCACGACACACTGATTACAACCTTCTCTGGTTTAATGTTCATTTAAGTAGGTTGATGGTTGTACTATTGCAACATTGGGTTTGGATCCTAATATTGAAATTACTACCGGTATGCGTCGTTTGTGATACAGATAATGATCGGGTTGAGACACACTGCAATTTAATAGGCTGGTTAGACACAATTATATATGACTAGAACCTTTCAACATTACGTAGTGTGCTATTACCAACACACAGCTGGTCTTGAAATATATATCCACAACGAGGACTTATTGAAATCAGTTAGCCTAATGGTTCAAGCATTCGCTCGTAGCGCCGAAGACCGGGTTCGGATCCATGTATACTATCAGTGAAGCCCGGTTCAAGTGTCTCAAGGGGATATATCTACATGTGAGCAAAGTCAGGTCGGATATTCACAATAAGTGTTGTTCACGCCGGACTCAATATTGCAGCTGTATGATGGTGGACAGAGTAATCACCAAACAGAAGCAGTTATTGCAATTATCAGTTTCAACTGTGACTTTCTTTTACCTGTTAGTATTTTCCATCAGAATATACCGTATATGACCGTAGTCATGGAGGTTAGAAAACGACATCGTATCGTTTCGCGCGAACGAACAAGGGAAAACGGCTTTGTCAGTGAAGATGTCAAATTGGCAATTAAACATCACGAGATTAACATAGAGATTATTTACTTCTTTTTCAGTGTCTACTTATGTTCATCAAATATCATCTTCTAGGCATCTAATGACAAGATTATTTACATTTTCAGTTCTACTTTGTTTTTTTACTAGGCTTTGTAATATATACAGGAATTAAGATTATAATACAGGATACAGTTTTTAAAATGACTATTTCATATGAAATATATAAAAAGTACTGCATAAATCGTTCGTGTATTTATACGAACGTGAACATGGCAGTGGGTGTGTGTCATCGTGACACTTATAGCACATTCACGTGACGGATCTGAACGTTTCAACATCCTTCTCAGATACACGGGATATCATGTTGGACAGGGCACATTAATGTGGTAACGTTAGATTACAGGACACATTAATGTGGTAACGTTTGGTTAGATTACAGGACATCCTTAGTGCCGACTGACCTCCCAGCAGAGGGACACCTCCATCAAACTTCTATCAGCTGAAAGGGGATCTAGTTTATTTGACGTTGGCTGTATCATTAAGTACCTGTTGCCTAGGTTGATTGTTAGTTCCACTAAGCCTGACACTGTAGATGCTGTCACAACGAAATGTACCTGGATTATTAAGCATTTATGATTCCTGTTTACATCACAGTTTGATTGAAAGTGAACAGACATGTACACGTTGTGATGTAAGGTTATATGGTATTAACGCCTAGAGTCTATTGTCAATTAAATATCTCTTAGTGTGATTATTGGGTAGTGGCAGTTGTGCTAAAACAAACATAGACATGGGTGGCCCGCATCCCTAGGTTGCTGTCATTGTGTATTGGTGTAAGGACAGTTTCAATTACTGTACTTGATATAAGGATAATATTACCTTCCCAAAGAATCCGGGTTTATGCGAACACATCTCTACGTAATATACCTATATATATAAACACCTGTATTTAGGTCCGCGTTACCTGAACCACAGGTAGTTTTTGTTTGGTTTTACATAATGTATATACATATGTCATCTGAGAGTCTACATCAGCAAACGCATTTTAATTCTAACCATATCTGGACTAACGTTCTACCCTATATATATAGGCAACTATCACAGACCCGCCACAATACCACGTCAGGTAATATTGAACCAGGTAGACATTAATGTAGAGCGTTATTGTGAAACCACAACCAATGATTGTGCTTTAACCTCCACCATTCCCAGTTGTTCTGAAAGATGAACATATAGTTAGATATGACGCACACTGTATAAGATCGTCTTAGTTCTGGCTGTCTCGGGGCGGTGGGGTAGCCTAGTGGTTAAAGCGTTGGCTCGTCACGCCGATGACCCGGGTTCGAATCCCCACATGGGTACAATGAGTGAAGCCAATTTCTGGTGTTCCCCGCCGTGATGTTGCTGGAATATTGCTAAAAGCGGCGTAAAACCAAACTCAGTCAGTCAGTCAGTCTGTCTGTCTCAATGGTCCAGTGAATAGAGCGTTTGCCCGGAAACGGGCGGTCTGTTGTTCAATCCCCGGCCGAAACACACCATACAGCGTTATAAGATGAGATGATCAGACATGGACCAGCTCAGAGATAGTATGCTGTAGTTGAGTGGGTATCCATGTTACACTACTGCATGGTGTTTCAGTGGGCAGGTATTTTAAACCGGCATAAGTTCGGACAAGTACAAGGAGCCACACACACACACGCAGATGCATAAGAATCTTGAACGCAACCTCAAGGCCTATTTCACGTCAGCTGACATCGGCTATCGAAATACCTGTATACACCTGCATAGTGGCAGTTGTCGTATCACCACATGAACCAACACCATCAGAATAAATCACCTGCACCACTTGTAAGATTACGAACGCTTAATATCTTTAAACTGCGAATAAAACCCAATGAGCACTCCCTCACTCACTCAAAGTTTGACCTATCATATATTACCCGGTATCAGTGTTGCTACTATTCTACACTTCAGTGCTATTCATCTTCAATTCTACATATACCATCGCTCCCCATACATTAAGCCGAGGTGACAGATAAGCTTCCTGTCTTCAGAGGGAGTTGACTAACAAGGGTTGTGACGAATGTACAACATTCCAGTGATGTAATATGGATTTATGAGGTCTTGCTAAAGACCCAAAGACAGATGGAAGCATTGTTATCGTGATATACTGCTTAACTGGACATGACGTGTGGAGCAATTCCTGTATACTCGACGTCTCACGAAAACCGCGCACTTTAATACGTCACTGGAACGGCATTGCAGAAATTTGTTTCTCATTTGTTAATTATGAAAAGTAGGATTTCGGGTCTAAACTCTTTTTCACCAATTTCCGGATTGGAATCACCTTGATTCACGATTTCACCGAAACTTTATTTCCCACAACGGCCTATCTTGTTGAAAGGGCTGTGAAGGTGAGACTGAACTCCCATCTTAGAGCGCACGGACTTATGGAAAAGTTCCAGTCTGCTTATAGACCACGTCATAGCACGGAAACGGCACTCATTCGTGTCACGAATGATTTGCTTTGCTCGGTCGACAGCGGAAAGATTGCCCTACTTGTACTTCTTGACCTGTCAGCCGCTTTTGACACTCTTGACCACAATATACTTCTTAGACAACTTGAGACTTCATTTGGATTAACCGGAATGGCACTATCATGGTTTGTTTCGTACCTCAGCAATCGACAGCAGTCAGTCATCATAAATAATCATGCATCTAAGAAAAGCCCTTTATCCTGTGGAGTACCACAAGGATCGGTTCTGGGACCAGTGTTGTTTACGCTTTACACCAGAGATCTAGGAGATGTAATCAGTACACATGATGTGAGCCACCATTTTTATGCTGATGACACCTAGTTGTCTGATTCGTGCAATCCCAGTACAGCAGATCGAATGTGGGAACGACTGTCAGAGTGTACAAGTGACGTAAAAACATGGATGACGACACATTTGCTCAAACTGAATGAGACGAAAACAGAGGCGTTGCTTGTCGGCACTAAGAAGAATCTTCATCAAGTGATGACTAACTCAGTCACAGTTTGCAACACTGTCATTCCATTTTCGAAAACCGTAAAAAACCTTGGACTTCATCTGGACTCTGATCTCTCTTTGAAAGCTCATATTGACACAGTCTGCAAATCCTGTTACTTCCATTTGCGGAGCATTAGCAGCATCCGAAGCTCCCCTACTACAGCGGCAGCTCATGCACTGGTGCGATCTCTGGTTCTCTCAAAGATTGACTACTGTAATAGCATTTTCTACGGACTTTCCGAAAAACTACTATCAAAACTCCAGAAAGTACAAAACTCTGCAGCTCGACTTGTCAACAAAGTTCCCTCTAGGATCCACATAACGCCTGTTCTTAAGTCTCTTCACTGGCTACCAATCAGAGCCAGAATTGAATTCAAGGTCCTGAGTCTTGCCTACCAGTGTTACCATCTTACGTCTCCAGAGTACCTTGTTGAGCTAGTCACCAAGCACAATCCTTCCAGAATGTTAAGATCGGCAGATAGACACCTTCTCACTATTCCTAGACAGAAACTCCGGGCATTCGGGTTTCGCTCCTTCAGCTATGGTGCTCCACAGTTGTGGAATCAACTCCCGACTGAAATCAAAATGTCTCCCTCGATTGACTCATTTAAAAGTTCTCTCAAAACCCATCTTTTCAGAAAATATTACGATCTATAACTTAACTTTCCAAAATTTTCAGCCTCGTTCTCGTATAACCTTTGCTTTGTAAATATTTGTAAATATGTAGCGCTTTGAACATGCCTTATGTGTGGAATTCAGCGCATTATAAATACACATATTATAATTATTTATTATTATTTATTATTATCTTTTGTTGTTTAACAAAATCCCAAACACGCTTCCTGCTGTCTAACGGATGATTTCCCGTTTCGCGATATTTTAATACAGTTTACCTTTGCACCCGGTCCATGCGCCCACATTCTCTCAAAATAGATTTCCCTGCGCTGTACTGAGGGGAGTTATCTCCTGATGATGACATCATGTTTAATAAATTAGATATTAGACTGTTGAATGTTTGATCTGTTGGTAACACAACCGGAATTGCTGTACTATTTATATGTGTCAATACACTTAATCGGACAGCACGACCTGGCGTGTTAACATCCCTGGTCGAGATAAGTGGTTACATGCACTAGATAACTGACAGTTTGATGTGCTGTCCTGTTGTGCTATTGATTACACAACAAACAGTTATGTATGAAAAAAGTTATCTACACCGAAACGGTGCATCATTATAATAAAGTTGTCATCTATAAAGTACCTTACCTTTCTTGTTACTTACCAACTACTAAAATGCCAATTAAACAGATCGAGATATGTTTGTGTACTTTTACAACATTATTACATTGGATACAACACGGGGATACTTTGTAATGGCTAACGACCACATCTGAATTGTGCCGTATCGCTTCGAAGTAACATAAATATTCGGTCCTCAAGTACACACAGTAACTTCGTTAGTGTGAAAACCACCCCTTAAGTGTACATACCTATCCCCAACATAACTCGTCCTGGATACTTGGTTGCTGGACCATAAACCTGACGCAATGTCTTGTCAAATACCTTATTCATTGTAGATGTATTTTCATATCTAATTGAAAACAAGATCTGGAACACCTGTTCGCAACCACATTTGACAAGGTATCTTATCAAGGTATCTGATTGCAGTTGGCAGTGTTTGTCACAGAAATAACCATTGCAGATTTGTAGATAAGTGTGTAAGATCATTTCCCATTAACTTCAGCGTTAGAAATCGCTCTATCTCTAGGAGGGGGAAAAGATGCGATGATGTCTACTGTGAAAAATGCAATTAACTTTAGCCTTCATCATAGTTAAGGTCAGCGTGAATAATATAAATAGTTTTTTGCTTAGATATATCTCTTAAAGGAAGTTATGCTCCTCTGTCCGTTTCCGTTCTAGCTCGAGACGTTGTCATGAAACATTGTCTCTGAGTAATAAAGGTAATCTATTCACATTACATATGCCAGTGGGGTGGATAGGTAGGGTAGGCCGATGAATTGATGGTAGAAAGGACAGGGGCGATTATTAATGGGTTGTTGAAAAAATCCGAATCAGTACGTGGTAGTAACTGTGGTTTGGTGGAAGACAGAGATAGGAGGTGGATGGAGGGGTGGCAGACAGTTTGTGGGAAGAGTAGAGATGGGAGGTGGTCTTGAGGGGTGAGGGCTTTTATAGTTTCATTTGGAACTAGGTTTGGTCTATGGAAGAGCGGGGGTGCTGCATGGTCTGAAGTGATGTGCATCCCTGCGTGTCTGTGTATATGCCTGTGTGCCTGTGCTTGTGACCGCATGTTTCTGTTTGCGTATGTGCGTGTGATTCCGTGCCTGTGTGTTGATAGAACAGCGAAGGTGGGAGGATGTAGATGGCGCACAGATGATTGAGTTGGAGTACGTCCTGAGGGAAGTCACAAGTACGTGACACAGTGACGACAGTCGACAGGCCAGCAGTATGGGAAGTCAGCTTTCTAAGAACAGCCTGCGCAATGATGACCCACCTGCGGCCACTTGACATGTGTGGCATATTAGTCCGTGGACGTAAGTAGTGTATATCCATGAAGCTCCCGGCCTTCAAGCACTTGTCTTCTCAAGGTGATATATTCTTGTTTACAATTCATCTTATTTTGTCGAATGAAAGTACATGAATTCCAACAATATTAATGGTCAGCTATTCTTCTTCCTCGGGGAGAAGTCAGTTGATATTGTTTGTTTTTGACATTGATCGTAACCGTCTGTTAAGCGAAACCCTCAGAGTTCAAACACACATATAGGAACAATTAATTAAACGTAACCACCCAGCGTCTCATCAATCTGGAACTCGGAGATGGTGTACTTTGTAGCCTCAAACATAATTCATAATTTGTTGTAGTTATGTATAGAAATGCAGGGATTTGTTTGGATCTTCTTAGAACCCCATGTTCCATCTCAAGTCTTCATCAAATGTCAACCAAAAATAAAACATTCTCCATTGCATGCTGTTGATATTAAAACTGATATTACATTGGTATTTCACTGATAACATGGCCCATACAGAAGAGGATGCTGGGATAAATGTAAATGTATTATAATGAATCCAACCTTATCATTCAGTGTAAAAATCAGTCTGAATTTAAGAAAATGATAACTAATTCAAAAATGGCAAATTTAGAATCCTAAACAAATCCATGAAATGATAAACGCTATAAAATACAGATTTCTTTGTCTAGACTCTATACGTCAGTGTACGTCACAACTAATCACTTCAGTACTTATGGGGCGGTTGGGTAGCCTAGTGGTTAAGGCGTTCGGTCGTCACGCTAAAGACCCAGGTTCGATTCCTCACATGGTACAATGTTTGAAGCCCATTTCTGGTGGAGTATTGCTATAAAGCGACATAACTCTAAACTCACTCAATCATTCATGTAAAACTACATAAATCTCATGTACAGCATGTAGCTGCTGAATTGCACACACGTAATACGGTTACAGTGTATGGTTACAGTGTGTGGTTACAGTTTGACAGGCCGTGATAAGGACGCCGAAACATAACAAGTGTGATACAGTAGAGTAAAAACGCCCCTCTTCCCACAGTCACTTGAATGATAACGAAGTACGTGTGACCGAGATGGTCTCTTAACTGAACCTTATAATCTCACTGCTCACTCTGCCCCCGGTTTCAAACACATTCATCCATTTATGGATATAGGTTTAACTGAGAGGTAAATATATACCGCCCGCAGCATGCATTAAATAAACATGTACAAGAGGAATATCAAGGTTGTTTAGTGGGTCGCACTATGACACTCGTGTGAGGAGAGGCGCATGTGGATGAATTGGGAGGCTGCTTCCTGAATAGAGCCAGGTGTTGCAGTCATGGGTTTGTTTTGAAAGGGAGTCAGGGTTTGAATATGTTACCAATATTTCACAGTAATTTGTTTTCTTTAACAACTGAAACTAGTAATTATAAGGGGCCTGATCAGTGTGTTGATGATGGTGACGGACGCCATACACTGGGGATGTGTATAAGATGAATACTGACACGACTTAAGGACGTGCATGGTATGCACACAGTGTGTGGAGGTATTGGGTATGTTCCTATTTATCTTGTCATACGTTGAGTCATGGGGTTCTCAAAGACATTCCACATTGCACTGATACATTTCACGACAACACCTATTTCATATTCAATAGGTGTGAATATACTTCTAAGCAAAGAGTGAGTGAGTGAGTTGGGTTTTCCGCCGCTTTTAGCAATATTCCAGTAATATCACTGCGGGGGACACCAGAAATGGGCTTCACACATTGTACCCATGTGGGGAATCGAACCCGGCCTTCGGCGTGACAAGCGAATGCCTTAACCTCTAGGTTACCTCACCGCCCCTCAAGCAAAGATAATTAGGGGATATCGGTTGTATTCATATAGAGAGTTACATCATGTTGCCTGCTACCAAACGTTTGTAGAATGCTCGTCCATGTTAGTGAGTGAGTGAGATTTACGTGGCTGTATCAAGCGTATGTTGACGGTGCAAAATTATACTTCGTTCGTTGTACCCATGAGAGAGTCGAACAGGGATCGGGAGTCTGAAGAACAAACACGTTAACAGCAAGGCTAACTATGCCCCTGACAACTTCTACAAAAAACAGCAAGAAAATTATTTCGTTTCATGTCATATAAAGTTATGCTAGTCATTCCATCATTTATTACTGCTACGGTGTTACTGATCTCTATACATGTACACTGATGTATTTAACATCATCACACGGGGGAGTGGTAGAGTGAGTCAGTGTTCCTCATCAGTGTGCGATGGCTACACCTTCCTGTATACTCACCATCTTGTCAACATCCTGTCTACAGTGTCCCTTGGTCTGTATACTCAAGGTCATAAGTTAAGCAACCATATAACTCATGATCACGATGTGCACAGATTACACGTTTATGTACCTCGTGTGAAAATCATAAGTATTATTAACCATGAAGGGGCCTGCCTATGTACTCTTTACCCTGCTGACTGCAGCGTAAAACTAAACTCACTCACTCACCCATTTTACCCTGCTGAAGCCTCCCACCCCAGATCTCTACACCCTGATATACACGCTTCACGAAAGAAACGCATAAGCTATTTTGGAAGAATTTATTGCTTTAGGTTAAGAGTAATTATTTCATGTAATTTCAATGGTAAGAAGGTGCAAATTCACACGTTTATAGACAAAGAGTTCGCTAACACAACGGCAGCCTTTATTGATGTGTTTCTGTTTACTTGAGTCCACAAGATGGCGTCAAAGTCAGTTCTTTGTATAACCAACATTGGCAGCAATTACTGCTCGGCGCCGTCTCGGCACAGACTGGATAAGTCGACGAAGTCGCTCTTGCGGAATTCTTCCCCACTCTTCCTGCAATGCGATGGCCAGTTGTGGAAGTGTCTCAGCTGTGTTTTGACGTTGACGTACACGTCAATCGAGTTCATCCCATAGGTGGTCTATCGGGTTTAGATCTGGTGATCGGGAAGGCCATGGCAAGACATTGACATTAGATTTGGCAATGTAGCGCACCGTGAAGCGTGCTGCATGTGAAGTAGCGTTATCATGCTGAAACAACTCCCTGTGTCAGTCCATAATCGGAGGCACGTGATGTGCAAGGACTTCGTTGATGTACCGA